CCAAAACGGGAAAGCATGCAAGGTCAGAGAATACCTGACGGGGGCAACAACGAGTCAGGGGTCGTGACGGGGTTCAGAGGGGGCCCCTGTGACAAGGGGGGTTCCACGGGGGCCATCCTGGGACCTGTGTGTTCTTGGTATATTGAACGAATAACCAAAGGGGATAGACTCAAGGTGCCCCTTTTTGCAGAGAGGAAGTTAATAGAAGAATCAAATCAGATGAGGACAGGCAGGACTACAAAGGCCCTGGACGGCTCAAGCCGGGTCCACAACGGTCCTTATTTAAACCCCCCTGCCAAACAAAGTCATAAAAAATTGGGGAGGGCAAAAAAGCCCGAGACACAATATAGTTTAATGGCCAAGATGCAAACCCACTAAGGAAAAAGTTTGGGGGTGAATTAACCCCGAGCATACTCCGGGGGCGCACATCAATCAAAAACGCCAGCAACGGGCGCCTGGGAAAACCCACGGATAGCGTTTCCCATCCTCAGTAAGGTTCGTTCAAGCTCGATACCATTACGTCAGGCCCATACTGGGTAGCAACACCCTTTGGAATCCACACCCATCAAACACGTCAAGAAATTAAAGAAAGTGCAAAGGGTTTTTCAACAAGATATCCCAAGCTCCGGGAAATTCCTACGAAGAAAGGTTTAGGAAATCGGCCTACGACACGGGGACAGGGGGTCAGGGAGACATGAAACGACATATAAAATACTGTTCGGGAAAAACAAGCTGGCAAAGACGGGATGTTCCCAAGAAGGGGTACAGACACAAAAAGGTCACAATTGGAATTTTAAAACTCAGTGAATCAAAGGGTGTTGGAAGTATTTCTTCGGTCATAGAGTAGTCAGGCCGTGGAACAGCCAAAAAAGTGACGTAGTGGAGGGGGAACCAACTAGTTTTTTAAAGGGGAGGTATGATAAAGCCAGGGGGGAGGGGGAAAAAGACCAGAGCAAACCCGCAAGAGGCGGGGCCAGGAGTAGACTCGACCCCTGCAACCCAAATAGGTGAAATAGGTGAGTACCCAAAAACACACACACAACACACACACACACACACACACACCACCACACCACCACCACACACACACACACACACACACACACACACACACACACACACCACAAAACACACACACGTGGGAATGTTTTATTTAAGCCCCCAAAGTCAGGGGATTTCTCCAGAATGTCTGTAATATACCTGTTGATAAAAATCTTTGCCTTTCTTGAAAATTTCTGAGTGAGTTGTCTCTAAAAACATTAATTTTTTTGCACTCCAGTACATAATCGCAGGGTGTGACAAAAGTCCATCTGGCAAAGTTTCATTTCGTTTGGTTACACTGTGGTGGTGATTAAAACCCGCAAAGATACTTGTAAACCCCCCGGAGCCGGCGTGTGACTCCCAAAAGTCTGCTTATCTTTTTGGATTTCACCATAGACATTTGGGTCCCCTGCTGAGGGTGAGATAAATGGATGACGGTGTCAATCTCCCTGAGTCTTAAGTCAATAAAATTCGTTGAAGTTTTTTTGTAGTTTGTTCTCAAACTACTACCTGACAAGCAAGATTGTAATCTACTCCCTTTTTAAAAGCATACACTTGCCAATTTTATCATTCTATCATGCATCTGAAGACCAAGGAGATGGAATCCACAGCAGGGATCGGCTCACTGTCCCTGGACCTGGATTTACCTGGAAGATTTGGGGGGTTTCAACCCCCCCGGGGCCCGGCTGGACCCACCCCTCCGGGTGGATCGCGCCTGATCAACCAGGTGTTCTGCTGGCTGCAGCAACCAAGTACGAGCCACACCCCGGGTGATCAGGAACTGACTTTAAGGCTTGCCCCAGTGCCAGCTTGAAGACGCCAGGGGTCTGTTTTAATCCCCCTTATTTCTGGGGGCTTGAACAGTCTCGGGCCCCACACTTATTGTATGTCTCTTAACGTGCTATACACCCCTCTTTTCATTGGGGGGGATGGTGCTCGTCTGCCAAGTCTTTTGTTTTCGTATGAGTATTTTCGTGTGCAGTTCGGTACAGTCCCTCTGGGATTTTCCGGGTGTTATAATCATGTTCCCCTCCGCTTTCCCGGGGAAACAGGTTTAGAAACCTCAACGCCCCCAAAATTGAGGTGTTTTATCCCCTTTTATGCGCCCCGTGAAAGTTCTCTGTACATTTTCTAGGTCGGCAATTTCACCTGCCTTGAAAGGTGCTTTTAGAGTGCAGCAAACCCCGCCTGATAGAACAAGTACTGTCCAAAACTTCCAACCTGTGCGGGTTTTTACACAGCATGCCACAATTTTGCTTAATAGTTAGACATTTAGGGTGACGGGAAATCAGTTACAATTAAACTGTAAATCTTAGATAAATGCTTTTCATTTAAAGGAGTATGGCAAACAGTTCTGTCTGAAGGGAGAGGCCCAATTATTGAGCGTGCCCCAATTTCTTTAAGAGAGCCATCACCTTACGACAACAAAAGCACTACCGCCGCCCAGTGAATTGGTGAACAAAACCCATAAACGAAATAATTTGCGAGACGTGTGCTTTTGGGGACTAATTATAAATACAGCTTAAGCTATGTTTGGCTTCAAGGCGGTTTTGGTTGTGATTTAAGAAGTATTTTGGGGGGAAATGGGGGAAGGTAGTTTGGAAGGGGTAATACCCCAGGAGGGGAAAGTGTGCTGTTCCCTTTCTTGACATAGATCATGTATCTGTTATGCGGAGGTCGGTTCCAGTTTTTTCGATCCATCGGGAGGGTGTTCACCAGTGCTGGGGAAAGTTTGGGGGTTCTGGCGGGGTTTAAAGGGGTTTCCCTCAGCATTTTAAACCCCAATTAGGATCTCCGATCTCCGATGCTTGGAACATAAAGTTCTTTTTGCATATTTAAAATTTTGGCAGTACGAGGGAAACCCTAAAATGATCCTCATTCTTCTTTTGCAGTTTTTCCAGCCCTTCGCTTCCAGTCAACCAAGACAAGTAGTGGCGCAGCAAAATCAACAAATGATTAATATAAGCAAGATACTCATTTTCACAATTTTAACTTTAGCACCATCCCTGGGGGAAACCCACCACAACTCAAGTGCTCTCAGTCTTTCTTGTTTTGGCGAAAAACTTGTTACAACAGGCCCAAGTAGGGGAAACCTCAAACCTAGAACCTGACGTTTACATATTGTAAAAAGAGCCCCATCTGAAATGGATCTGACGAAAAATGTGCCTCTTTTGTCGAGGGGGACGCCTATTGAGTATCTTTGTTTTTTCAGAAGATTATCAACCCCCCAGGGACACGAGGCTGTACATGAAATTTAAAAATGTTTTGGGTTTGGAGAAACCGGGGTGTGATCTTATAAACATCAGCAAAACTATTTACATAATGATGGGGCGGCTAGGGTAGCATTAAATTAAGGCATTTAAATTTGAATACTGAATAGTGTGGGATGAGCACCCTCCCGTGGGGTTTCCAATTCAAAGGGCCCGGCCAACCGGGGGCCCCGGGGGGGTTGACCCCCCAAACTCTCTCCAGGTAAATCTCCCGGGAAACCTTTTATGTCCCCGGAACAACACAGACGACTTTTGTTTGGGCAGGGGGCCTTTTTTAAACCAGCGGAGAACAAAACCCCAACATCCATTCTGGCAAATTCATAAAGATTACAGCGGTTTTGGGGGGTACTTGAAAGCGGATTTAAGGTCAAGGAAGGGGTTTTAGAAAGGGTTTGTGTGCAGGGGGAGAAAGGGGGGTAATGCAATGATGCACACCCCCTTCCATGCAGAAACCATGAACCAGGGGACAAAATTGTTTGATTTTGTACATGAGACGATTAAAATCATTTCTCCCAAATGTTTACACAAGCAGTAGTAAATATGTTGGCGAAATGCATTTGGATTGGGTTTGGGGAAATTTGAAAAGATGAGGTGTTGGAAAAGGATTTAGGGAGCTCCCCAGTTTAAAGTCGTTATATAAATTTAAGAATGGATTACCTGGTATCGAACAGCAATCTGAGTTTTTTGTAAGTAATACCATCCTCACCAGGGGACGTGGAGTTGCCCTTAGTTTTTGCCAAACAAGTTCATAATTTGTGAAAGGAAAGTTGCAGTCATCTTCCTTTCTGAGCATAAAGCAAACAAGTCTCTCCCTTGCTCATATTTGCATTTAATTTTGCCTGTGTGGACGTGAAGATTGTCATAACTAGATGTACAGCCCAAGCACTAAATCATTCGCCTATGTAAAGGGTGAGGGTGCGCGATCTGCCCAATCTGTTACCCTTAAAAAATATTTTTGTCCCCCATGCCCGGGTAAAGGGGGTGTGAGCATTTAAAACCATTTACAATTTTTTTCCCCGTCTGTTTGCCGCATTCTGACATACCTCTCTGGGAGCAGTAAGGGCATATGAAAGAGCCCCAATTCCAGGGTACGATGTTTTCTATAGGCTAGGCCTATCTGCGAGCATACGTTTCATGTAAAGTTTAAATCATAAACAGAAATATCAATCAATCTCAAAATAAAAATCTTTAAAAGTCATAAGTTGGCCTGTGATACTCCAATACTGAAACATGTATAGTGCCAAAACAAAAGTATTTTACATTGCTAAACTCACAAAAATTTTTTTAGTCATTAGCCAAATACCAAATTACCTCATAAATTTTTAAATATTTTAAACTTTAAAATTTAATCTAAGTCTGCCCGAAAGCCTAGCCATGCTAGGTGTTTAATGGTACACCTGTAAATATTATTTTACTACATGTAAACCACACAATAACCAAATTCTGTAAACTCAGGATTGTAATCCTTATAGAGAATAAACTTGGAATTGTAAATAGAAAGAGAAAAATGCTTTGTATTATAGGTTACGAAAGTTTTTATTAAATATTTCAGATTTAATATATATGCTATATGCAGTAAAAATATTTAATATTTAAAATATATATGACTTTTAAATAAAAGTGTTTTAGACTTTATGAAGATAAATGTTTTGCACATGTGATGATAGTATAAAATATTTTAGGCAGGTAGTGAGGCTGATCATTAAGCAGAACAACAAGTGTTGTTATTGTCTTGTTTCTCACTGCTTCTGCAACACTGTGTTGTGGTAGGTGTTACACAGGTGTGTTATATAACTGGTAGTGTCATCATGAAGGTCAGCAAGGGTATATCTGCTCACCTTATCTTAATATAAGACTTTAAACACGGGGAATGGAGACGCGTTCACTTACTTTATTTCACGGTATTGTGCCTTTTTTTGTTATTTCAGATTTACTGTGCAAAACGTGCAATAATCTGAAGGCCCTTAGGATGCATAGCTTTTCAGGCTTTTCTGCTTCACTTGGTGGTGGTGAGTTTAGTATATAACTAATAACCAGGATGAGTTCAGACTGTATTAGGGGCTAAGGTAGCGACCCCATACCAGTGAAGTGTTCGGGATCGATCCCCGGCACGGGTGAAACGTTGGTATATTGTTTTTATGTTTCACAGGAGCACTGCAGTATACCTATTGCATCTATTGACCCATATCTGTTATAAGCTGAGATTTATGCCTATGATGATTTTCCGCCCGGGGGGAGGGGGAGGCAGAAGCCCCAAGCATCCACTTTGACACTGCTGCTGCAACTAATACTTTAAGTGTGTTCCTTGACTGGTGAAAGGCTCTTGATCCAAGGATTCTGAGCCACTATTTCCTGGGATCAAACTCAGTATAAGTGATCTTGCTAAGGTTCCCAGTCGCTGGTCAGGAGACATCGCCAGTTTTTTGCTGTAGGTGAAGAGTTCTTTCATCTATAAATATGGTAAAAGTATCATAAGGTATTAAGACAACTTGTGATTAAATTTCACTTGAGTTTATGTCTGGATAACCTACTGACATTACCTACATTCTTTATTTAGCACTTCCCATTAACAAATTCCAATACGGAGTCAAGAATGGTTTGACATTATTTATACAATTATTACAATAAAGCAGTAGTCTGCATAACAGTAAATCTTCTATTTTTTTTTTTTTTGTGAATAAAAATTCCAAATGGTAAGCAAGAGTAATATAAGAGGAGCCTGTAGCCATGACAAAAAAAAAAAAACGCTGAACCTGTACAAGTCATACAGCACTGAGAAACTATTAATTTCAGGAATGTTAGGTTAACTTACACATTTGAATGTGTATAAACATGAATTTAAGTGCCTTGGTTTATTTTAGCCTTGCAAGACTTCAAAAGCATGATTTTGAAGCCTTCAGTATACATATTACACAACTTCTTAAAGTGCCTTCCATAGTGAAGCCTAGCAGACCTCTTATATTCAGAGGGCAAGGCAGACTAAAATGCGGATTTTGAAAGTAATTTCGTATGAGGAGATAGAGCCACTCGATGTAAGGTCACTGAGACCATCCAAACGGAGTTGTGAAAGTAACATCTCGGGCAATTGCAGATATTCGAAGACCGAGTATATTCGGTCCTGCCCGTTTGGGGTATAACAATTTAGAATGTTGCAAGGTTGCAATTGTTGTAAAAAAAACAAATAAATATTTTTTAAATTTATTATACAAGTAGACAATATAAAAAACATAAATGGAACTGGTTTCTGAACAATTTGTAAGCAGTTAAAAAATAGAAATAGGAACTACTTATCAACAATGACACATTGCAATGGGATACAACTTACAAATGAAATATTCCTGAGTTCCCTGAGAAAGAACAATCCTTTTACATCACTAATTTCTGCAATGAAACTTTATGAAACAATTTCTATCCATCTTGATGGATAGTTTACTTTGCATGTGGCACAGGAAAATGAGGATGTGACATGATTATTCTTGTTGCTGCAATACTTGCATGTAAGCAAGTATCTTCTTCTTGTTCAATTTCTTCTTTTTGGATGGTGGCATAGCTTCCTCCTCATCTGTTGGCACCTCTCCATCTTGTGGCAAGTATTCATCATCAGTTTCCACCACTTCCAGGTCATCTGGGTCGTGATTTGAGTCACTATCATTCCAAATACAGACAAATTTCGACTTATCCTTGGAGGACTCACCATAGAACAATTTCTTATTGATCTGGAAGGACAATGAGAACGTTCTGTACACACCCAGACCATTACTGAATTCATATATACACTACCAAGTTTTATGGAAATATTTATATACCGAAACTTGAAAACTGCACCTAAAAGGGCAGGAACGACTGTACTTGGTCCTATTTTGTTGCACTTTTTTCATTTGCATGGTGCACTCGTAATATGCTTCACAACGCCTTCATATATATATCAAAATATGGCTAAACTATTCATTTACGCACTAGACACACAAATCAGTACTTACCAACATTGTATAGGGTGAAATGCTTCAGTATATAAGGAGCACTCAACCGAGAAACATGAGTTTTGGCGCCGGCAAGGTAGAAGTGTTTACATTCTGCTCTCTCGACCAATGGAAAGCGAGCAGCCGCCATCACCGCTCAGCTGGGGCGACTCAGGGAAGGTCTGTGATTGGTCAGAAATAGAGAACGGGAACCTAGATGCGCTGGGGGAGTCGGAGGACGTGTGCAAAAAACCACGTTATGAGGACCGACTATACTCGGTCCTGCCCGGTAAAGGGTAGACGTTTCCAAAAAAAAAAAATCACACTGGAAGTGCTTCCTAAGGTTCAGAGAATGATTTCCACAAGAAACGAAGAAAGCCTTAGGATTAATCTCTCTGAAGCTGCAGGACCCTTGGCAGTTTAGCAATTTATTTGATTATAATAATAATCTGATCTGTGACTGAACATCATGAATCCCAACAGTATTTGTAGAGTTATATCCCAGATGTCTCAGCATATCCTCTGTGAGCTCAGCAGCAACCTTTCTGACATTAGTGAAGAAGCCTAGGAATGATTCTTTAACTTTAATTTTGGTCACATTTTGATGTGGATGTATCTGATCATTTCACACCTGATCAAAGTGAGGCACATTAGGAGTTCTGCCAGAAAGAATTCCAAAATACTTTGCATTTTGTTAATGTTGGTAAAATTACTGACAACAAGTTAGGCAGAAGGACACAAGTGCAACTAATGTGACATTTTATTGTGGCAACGTTTCACTCTCCAGGAGTTTTGTCAAGCTGTAATGGCTTGATAAAGTTCCTGGAGAGCAAAACATTGCCACAATAAAATATCACATTAGCTGCACTTGTCTTTTTACTCAGCAGCCACTATTTTTTGACATAATTCCCAAAAAAGCAAATCAACTCATTCTGAATCTTTGTAGATAAATACAAGGCAGATCAACCAGGCTGTGATGGATAGGTGGGTCAATGGGCCACCAGCTGCAACAGCCTGGTTGACCAGGCAAGCTCCAGACAAGCTTGGCCCAAGGCTGGGCCAAGCTTGTCTGGTGCTTGCCTGTGCAACAGATTGCACAATTTGAACTTGTGGAACCATCCTGTACTAAACAAGCATATTCAGGCTTCCCTTGTTACACTGTTTCATAGCATTAAGTGGTGCACTTTTCTTGGTTTTCTTTCTCTATCCAAAATCACTTTTCCATCTTATTTAGTTGTTGTGACCTGTGTCGTCGTTTTCAAGAGGTCGTAACCTGGGTGTACTTATTGCACAAGCTTTCGTCTTTGCTTCATTCTTTCTAATTGTATGAACTAATGCTTCATTTACACCATAGACCTGTGCTGTCTCCATCACATTTGCACCACTTTAAGCTTATCTAATATCACAATTTTCTTCAAAACACCAAGACTCATTCACATTGCTTTTTGATGCCATAGTTACTATCCAGAGATGAGGTGAGATGATGAAAAGATCAAAAATCAATTCTGCAACACAGGCTGAGTGTGGTATTGGGTACCTACTCATGGAGAACTAATTAGACCTTCCCCTTAAGACTTTGGCCTTGCCTGTAGACTCACTATTAGAAGGAGGGGACAGTCCACAGTGTACCATATTTTTTTTGTGTATTGTACATACAGTAAATCCTCCACACAGTGGGCCTAGAAAATACAGAACAAAATCTGCTGGGTTAATATACATTCAGAAACAGTGGTCAAAGGCTGTTGGTAATATAATTGTCATCATTAGAGCAAAACAATCTCCTCTATCCATCAAGATTGCCAGTACTGCCCCCCTTTCGTCACTCAGTCCAGTATATTAACCCTTTGACTGTTTTCGACGTATAAATACGTCTTACGAGCCAATGTTTCTGACGTATAAATATGTCTTACGAGCCAATGTTTCTGACGTATATATACTCAATAATTCTAGTGGCTTCAAATCAAGCGGGAGAAAGCTGGTAGGCCCACATGTGAGAGAATGGGTCTGTGTGGTCAGTGTGCACCACAAAAAAAATCCTACAGCACACATTGCGTAATGAGAAAAAAAAAACTCTGATCTTTTTCTGGAATAAAACGCCGACTTTGAGGTGTATTTTCGTATAGTATTTATCGTTGTATTCGCGTTTTCATGGTCTTAGGTGATAAAATGGAAAACATATTACAGAAATAGAGATGATTTTCACTACTTTGACGATGAAAACGACCTTGAAACTGAGCTCAAAGTAGCGAAAATGTTCGATTTTTACCAATGTTCAGGAGTAAATAAATCACACCACACGTCCAATACACGTCAACTGGGGAGTCTAATATTCTTTCACTAGTGCACTGATATTATTTATACCATTTTTACAATAATGCAGTAGTCTGCATAACAGTAAATTTTGTATTTTTTTGTATGAATAAAAAATCAAAATAGAAAGCAATAATAATATAAGAGGGGCCTAGAGATGTGACTAATGAACAGAGCATATGTTATTTTAGTGCCACGAATGTCTACCTTGTTTATTCTGGACCCTATTTTGAAATTGGCATCTTTTTTAATTTGCATGAAATTGGCCAAATTGCCAATTTCTGACCACCATATTGGGTAGTCCAAATTAGTAAATGGGAGGTTTCTTGTACTCAGCTGATAGATAAAATGGAGGTCTAAAGAAATAGCTATGAGTTTGGTCAACTGGAACAATGGAATTGGCTGAAAATAGGGCTCAAAGTCGGCGAAATCGCCGATACGCATATGTCGCCGAGACCGCTAACTTCGTGGGAGCATAATTCCATGAGTTTTCTACCAAATTTCGAACTTTTGGTGTCATTACCATCGGGAAAAGATTCTCTATCATTTCATAAGAAAAAATATTTTTTTTTTTTTTTTTTTCAAAAATTGAGCGACATAGAATGACAGTTTCAGAAAGGGGCCTGAAACAGTTAAAGGGTTAATGATTACTATATTTTTTTTTACTGCTATGAGCACTAAGTGACCTAGAGAGTCAAAGAGCTCTGAAAACATCACTACTACTACTGTTACTGTACTGTTATGTATAACCACAGCAAGACCTAGCTGGATTAAGGACTTATTTATTTATTTATTTATTTATTTATTTATTTTATTTATTTGAACATGATACAGAGAAGTACAAGGAATACATTTTTTAAAGTGCAGCATGCCAAAGCCCCTTGTATGCAGAGCATTATGGGCAGGCTTAAAATTAACTTAAGATTAACTAAGCACTGATATATTCAGTGGTACAAAATTTATTGTAAAACAGATAACAATTTAGTACAAATGAGTATTACAAAGACAGGTCATATGGTCATTTACTGTGTTGCTGTGTAATCAGTAGAATGGAGTATTCTGTTAGGTAATGAAGTTAAATAGTAACAAAGTTTGATTGGGTAAAAGATACATGATGTAATTTAATATGGATAAGGACTTGGTAATACTGTATTGTATAATAAAAACTAACATTTTTTCCTATTGGTTGTATGCTTTATAATGATTTCTTCTCATATTGGTGCATTATACTGTAGTTTCATACATCTTTCTTTATATTGACAGATAATACAAGATGAGTGTCAACATTAACTGGGACATTGAATCCTACCGTGCTCCATATGAGAGTGATGAGCACTGGGCCTTGAAGCAGGAATTTATGGAAGCGCATAAATCAAGAATACCAGAAGATCGTCTGGTGTGCTTAGCTCAAGTGTTTGTCAATATTGAACTGTTGGGTTGTAGGTGAGTAGATACTCAGTAGTACCACAAGTGCATAGACATGATAGTTCAAGTGACCTGAACTGTAACATTCCCATCCCTCCTTCAGAGTGCAGATACTGTACTTCTCACTGCCAGGACACTGGTCTGGCTGACTGGTTTTCCTGAATACCTTCACAGATGTTGGCATCCTCACACACCAACAGCACATCCAGCCATGGAAACCACTTGTCTTCCCTACTCTAGTCTAGCTCACTGACACAAGCCTGCTGAATGTTCAGTCAAGCACTCAGACCTTCCTTTACCCCTCCCTCCAATCTGATATCTGATCTGTCATTCCCTTTATTTTTGTTTTTTTTCCAATGTTCACTTTTAATTTCCTTCTTTTACATACTTTCCCAAATTCATCCACTAATCCTTGTAACTTCCCTTCAGACTCACAAAAGAATTAACAACAGAGCAACTGTGACAACTCCCACTTTGTATCACATCCATTATTTTTTGTGTGTGTGTTTTTGTTGAACACTGGCCATCTCCCACTGAGGTAGGGTAACTCCCCCCTCCCTAAAAAAAAAAAAAAACCTTTCACCTTTGCTCATTCCATCACAGTCTTGCCAGAGGTATGCCAACACTACAGCTTAGATGCCCCTCCTTACTGCAGTATCCTAACTCCTCCAGAGCACAGGCTAACCAGTTTTCCAGAATCCCTTCCTAAATGTTGCCTTGCTCACACTCCAGCAGCACATCAAGTAATAAAACCCACTTGTCTCCACTCACTCCTGTCTAATATGCTCACACACGCTTTTTGGATGTCCCAGTCCCTTGCGTGCAGAACCACCTCTACCCCCTCCCTCCATCCTTACCTCGGATGGCCCTACTCCTTCCCTCCACAACAGATTTAAACACTCTCCGAGTCATCCTATTTTGCTTCATTTTCTCAATGTCTAAACCACCTCAATAACCCCTCCTCAGCCCTCTGGATAATAGTACTCTTAGTAACACCACACGTGCTTCTCAACTTGTCATTGTGTGCTTGCCAATCGCCACTCCTTTCCCCACCATTCATATCTTAAAAAATATAGCCTGGAACACCTGGTTTGCTGTCTAGGTGTATTTTCAAGAATTTGCCCTCATCCCTACAAATGGTGTATCGTTTATCTTAGTTCCAATGCATGTGTTTTGCCCTGCTCCCAAACTTTATACAGTGGACCCCCGCATAACGATTACCTCGGAATGCGACCAATTATGTAAGTGTATTTATGTAATGGTTTGGGCTGTATGTTTGGGGTTGAAATGGACAATCTACTTCACAATATTTCTATGGGAAAATTCGGTCAGTACTGGACCTGAACAACTTCTGGAGTGAAAAAATATGTTAAGGGAAAGGGGTCCACTGTAAGGTCTTGTCAGTATGAGTGAAGTTTGTTGTGTGCTGAATGCGCGGATCAGGATTTGAAATACAGGTTGTCATTCACAACAGAAATTTGGGTTAATGTTCTGGAAACTTGGGAATGTCATTGATGTAGATAAGGGATAACAGAGGCCAGAACACTACCCTGTGGAACCTTTTGTTAATCGATTAGGTGCTGAAGAACAGCATTAATACCCACATGCCATGTCTGTCCCGGAAATTTTTCATATATGAAAGCTGCCTCTTATTCCATAACATTAAAATTTTTAGTATAGAATTTTGGGGTGGTTGTTTAAAATTTTTTTTTTTTTTTTTTTGTTGATAAAAGATCCCTTTTGGATACTCTTTATTTTCAGAGGAGTAAAAATAGATACATTTTTATTTTTGCACATTGGGTACTTCACCCCAAACCTAACCCAAAACTGACATGAGTTAAAAATATTTTTTGGGTTATAAGTCTTTAAAAATTTTTATTTATTTTTTTTTCAAATTTTTAGACAAAAAAAGCAATTTGAAATTGACTTAGTTACTGCTTCTTTTTGGGGTTTTAATTTTTGATGTAACTCTTCTAGTGAAATGTGCTAGGGGGAAAATTTTGGCTTCAGTTGATTTATTGAACGTGCTGAATAAATTGGAGATAATATAGAGAAGCTTTCTTTTATATTTGTTTCAGCCTGTATTTTTTATGACATAATTTGGAGGTAACCTCATTGTTTTATTGGGAATAGGTACTAAAAATAATATTACAGTTAAGGGTTTTTCTAGCAAGATTTGTTCCAGTAACAAAAAAAAAAACATAAATTTAATTTTTTTCTGTCTCAAGGGTTAGAGGGAAGGTTTTTTTAGGTTTGTTTAATAAAAATAATATTTTTTTTTGACTGATACTATTTATGCAAAGGAAATATATGGTTAGGGGTAAAGCCAAAAGCCCCTTTAAACAGAGCATTTTAGACAAACTAAAAATAACTTAAGATTAAAAGGGGGAATAACATACATATGGTCATTGATGAGTTACATTAAGACTCAAAAAATCGTAATGACCATTGCAAAAAAAACCCTCCCCCGGGGAAAGAACCCGCGGTCATAAGGGCTCAAAACCACCCTGCTTACCACTAGACCAGCAGCCACAATAAAAATTCATTAAACTAGGAATTTCTCACCTAGGGGGGTTGCACAGGGACCACTTTGGACCACAAATGCAAGTTTTTACAGACGAATCTCCATCTAGCGTGGCCGTGGGACGAACTCTAGCTAAGTCCCTTCACTGCCGTCAACAGGGCCGTTACAGTGGTGCCTGTGCTAACCTTCCTATGGTGTAGAAATATACCTAGTTGGATGAATCTTATTGTGGCTAGCTGGTCTAGTGGCAAAACCCAACGGGCTGGAGTTTGAGACTCTATGAACCGCGGTTCAATCCCGGCCGGGGTATGTTTAGTTACATTGAATACAAGAGAATTGAGTATTCTATTAGGTCATGCTATATGGCTTTAATAAGTCTTGTAGACAAGACGTTAAATTTTGATTACAGTATTAACCTTAGGCAGACACAATTGCGTGATTAACACTCGAGATGAATACAAATATTGAGAGTAAGTACATATTGATTAGAAAGTTTTACCTCTCTTCATGATATTGAGCAAATGCATGTATAGTTATTACATATGTATGTATGATGGGCTGGGATAGGTTAAGGAGATTAGGTGTTTTTTAACTATAGTTTCTAAAAAGCTAGCCGAGTCAGAGATTTCTGGCAGAGAGTTCCAGATTTTCGGCCCTTTTATGTACAACGAGTTTTTGAAAAGATTTAAACTGACATGGGGAATGTCATAGAGGTTTTTGTTCCTAGTGTTGTGTCTGAGTCCCATTGCAACTGGTTAGAGCTATTTCTTTAGATTCAGTGAACTTCCTAGTGCTCAATATCTGAGAAAGTGTTTTCCAGGTTTTATCACTCTTAACAATGAAAACACAAAAATATTAGTGCATACGATGAAAAATATAGAGGGGAGGGAATAGTTATAATTCATCTGTAACAAAATTCTAATTATTAAATCTATAGTTGTTGACCAATATCTTCAAATTAATATAAGGGCATCTAGCATGAACAAAATAAACATGCACAGTATACGTATCTGTGTATTTGATGAAAAAATGACAAAAATATATTCTGGGTCATTAATTTTTGTTTGCTTATTTACAATGTTCACATCAACACATCTGTATTCTTAAGAATTAGATTGTAAAATGCCTTGATTGTGAGTGTAGATGTCCATAAGTTTGTAAGCTGGGTACATGTATACATGTATTGTAAGATACGTCTACAGTATTCATACTGCAGTACAAGACTGGGTTTAAATCTTCTGAGTGTTGACATGTGATTTCATCATACAGTCATTGCTGTTTTTATTCAGTATGGTACTTCTTTTATTTCCAGGTATCCAGACAAGACAATGGAGCAAGTTAGTATATTGGCTCGAGATGTAGGTCAGGAATACAAGGAAAGCAAGAAGAAGAAATTACAGCGCACGTTTGTTAAAGCATCAGATGCTGCTGGGGCTAGATACAAAGGCAGTAAGGCTCGCTCATAAATATACTCTTCTTTAGTTTATTTTGTGTACAATAAGGAAAGTAATTGGTTAGGCAAAAAAAAGTGAATTTGCTCATTTGACATTGCAGACTAATGTTTTATCACCAGCAATTTAGTGCTTCTTTTTAACAGAGTACGATAATAGTTGAATGAATGATGGTGAATGTATTTTTCTTTTTCTGGTAGTCCTACCTTGGTGGGAGACGGCCAATCTGTTAAAAAACAAAAAATGTAAAATAACGTCAGGCTGTTTACTGTTACTCACGCCAGTAGGAAAGTGTATACAGTTGTTTATTAAGCTAAATTTCTCTAGCTTTCCCAACCTAGTTTTTAAACTATTTTTTTTTATTTTGTGATTAGCCAAAGTTAATTGATTCCTGTCACTAGTTGGATTGCAGGTACTATAATATTTAATTTTTTTAGTTCATTTGTCATTAGTACTTATTGTGTAGTTTTTGGTAACTCTTAAGACCAAAAAATCTTAAATTGTTTTGCAGGGTTTTGCATTGAGTACTAACATGCACATGAGATAGATATTTAACTATGATGACAGCTACAATAAGGTATCATTGTAATGTTTCTGAAGCTCAGTACTTTTCAAACAAAAAAATGTGTAAATGTTAGGTAGCCCAACAAATGAAGCATTTTCATATGGTCATTATCATGTTCCGTAAGCTCTTGATTAATGTATCTCCTCCTGACACTGATTCTTCTGTTTAAGCTATCTGCCCTTAATCTAGTCATTACAGATGCTATCTTGTCAATTCAGCCCATACAGTATACACAGTGTTTCTGACATGAATGTTAGTTCCAGCTTTCTCTTGATACCTACCTTTAGTTAGTTCGTTCATAACTGTAAGCAGAACCATAGATTAATAGTAAGCAGAACCATAAGTTAGTGAATAACAGTAAGCAGAACTATACGTTAGTTAGTAACAGTAAGCAGAACCATTAGTTAACAATAAGCAGAACCATAGTTTAGTTAACAGTAAGCATAGTCACAAGTTAGTTAATAACAGCAAGTAGAGACGATGAGTAAGATACATGGCAATCATAACATGGAGATGGTAGAAGTTGAGAAGTAATTTTGAGTTGATCAGTTCCAGCC